AACTGAAAGAGAATTTCCAGCTGTGCCTTGTCAGCCTACGGACCAAACATATTGTGCTGCTTTCTTTTCCTTCAGCGAGCGTTTTACTGCTCCGAGCAGCAGTGTCAGAACATTCTCTGCACACAACAGAGCAGCGCTTTGTCCTCAGGGAAAGCAGCGATTTCAGACTTAACTAAGGACTCACCTAACATGTTTCAACAACCCCTACCGTTTCCCTGTTTGCTTTAAAGATATCACTCTGATTTGGTTTCATTTGCAACTGGAGACTAAATGCCACCAGGCAGAATCTGCTGTTAGGTTAGATTACAAGGTAAAATGTTTTACATTTTAAATTACTGCTTAAAGCATGGCGTTGAATGGCTTAAACTACGTGTTAACTTTGCAAATATGTATGAAATAATGTGAGCTGTGTTTAGCAAGACTGAACAGAAATGCTTTTCTAGATAAAGTGTGCAATACCAGTTGATCTGCTTTTTGTTTAGTGTGAATGTTTGACATGCACTTCAAGCTTAAACTAATTTAAAGTGCCATTAGTTTTGCTGGTATGGCGAAATGTAACTCATTTCTATGCGATAGATTAAAGAAGTGTGTGTGAAAAAGCTTGGTAAATCACTTTAACCCCTGAGTATCGTGAGAAAGAAGCTTTCCATCTTAGAAACGGGTTTGAATTCAGATGGAATCGTTAAAGATAGATTATTTAATAAATTCTGATACTCTGCTATTTCTAACGGGTCCCTACTTTAAAAATTAACCGTTTCCATTAACACAATAGCAAAATGAGAGATACTGAGCTCATTGAAGATAAACATTTGGAAAGCTACGAACTGCTGAACACATTACATGACAAAGGGAAAGGTAATAAAGATGCTTACACAAACTATGCATGATCTAAACATTTATCAGTAAAGTTAAAACAGGTAGAGCAATGCAGTCATCCTCAGAGCATCTGGGAACACAAAGATAATCATTTCATTATAGTAGCTATCTGGAACTTTATTTTTATGAATAATCAATTATTAGAAAAGTCTTATAAGCTGAATAGGTCAAATTTTCCCCACGTTACAGTTTGGCTGGCACTACACCAAATGTAACATCCTGATCAGAAATGTGAGGACAGTAAAGGCCCAATGCATTTAAGGCCTTTTTCTTGTATGCCAAGTCACAATTTGGGTCTTAAAGTGTCAGACAGCACTAATGAAATAAAGCAAGGAAATAAACCTAGAAATGTAACTCAGTGTTTGCATGCAAGGACCACCACTTGGCTGAAAGCAGCAGTATTAAGCTTTCAGTACTGAAGTACTTGGTGTGAAAACACAGCTTATAAACTGGCATATATGGACAGGATTAGTTTATAAAGACATGTTATTTGGGGTGGGGGTTGTTTTCTGCTGGTTTTAATTTTAATTTGTCATTATAAAGCATTTTATGAAAACAAGTTTCACTTTAAAATCATCTGATTTCCTACAGAGTTTTACTTTAAAGTTAACAGCCAAACCCTGAGACATGATTTGTACGGTAAACACAATGTAATTCACCCTATATTATCCTGATTTGTAAAAATACACGCACAGAGAATGGAAAAGTATTTCAGCCATGCCACTGCACACCCCTGGTCACAGGAAGAAATGGTTAAGTGTTAAAAAAGCACAGACGTGACGTAGCCACGTTGTAACTACATAGCTATGGCGTTGTTGTGACGTATTATAATAGAGATATATCTCTATATAATAGATGTATATATATATCATAGAAATGTGGCCATAATTAAGACGTCACTAGCTCAACAGAATGAATACACGTGTGCAAGGCTTTTCTTTGTGTATTCACTTTTCCCTAAGGGCTCTCTGAGTGTTTCCCTCAACTCTCAGAACAGAAGTTTCCTGTGTAATTTTATAGCCAGGCATTACCATGCAAGTAAGCTGGAAACCCAAACCATTAGGTCATTTGTCCTGCAAGCTGAGGAACTACGAAACCAACACCTTCTGAAAAAGAACAGTTACATCAATGCAGAGTGCAAGTTTCTGCACCTATTTGACATGTTAACCAACAGGAATTTCTGTGAATTAAAGGTCAGCATAAAGTGAGCACAGCATTTTGGGATAACTGATTTCTAACGGGTAGAAAGCAGTAAAGTCTGGATTAATATCAGAAGCCTGCTGTTACATGAGACTGGATTTGTCTGAGACACTTGCATCTTAAATGCCCTTTAGCTGTGAATAAAAAAATATTAGCTTAGCTTAACAACATTCTGCAAATTAATACATATTTGCTATAATATTTAAATATTACAATAGTTGAACACAGAAACGGCAAAGTTAGAAAGAAGTAAAAGCATACTGGTTTAAGCTTATTTACAGCCAATTTCCCATTTAAAAACCGACTATGAGAATTATGCTGGGGAAAGCATGGAGAACATGCAGTCAATCGCATCCTTATGTTAAGGGAAAGTAAACCAAAAACTTGACCTCTTATATGAACTGGAAAACACCACGATGCACACACTTTTAAAAACCGTTTGATTCAGGCAAAAGCAGTTCAAATTGCTGAGCTAATACATCCTGTGCCTATACAATGTAAGTAACTCTAATGAGAATAACTCCAAAGCGAAAGAGTGCACACAAAGCCAGGCCGATAAGCATTGAGAAAAAGCATTTGTTCGTCCCATCAAGACGTCCTTAGAGCAAAACCAGGGACGTGCTCTAAGCCTTGTCTTGGACACAAAGACTTCAGTGCTCTAAGGCTCAAGCTCTTCACTAATCCTCAACCTCACAAGAGTTCGAGGGTCTTCAGACTCCAGCGCTTCAGTTAAAAGAGGCCACAGGACAAAAGCGTTTCCTTTTTTGAAGGAATTATGACAGCAGCTATGACAAATCAGCAATAACTTTGGACGTGCAGGGATTTATTTCCACACTGGTACAGCCAACGCTTTATATGCTTTCTATGCATCCTCCTGAATCTTGACTGCTCTGATCTGGAATGCCACCTATTGGCGACAGTAAATGCAATATTTCTGTCAGAAGCGTAAGAAGGCTCGAGATCTATAGCAATTTTGGATTTCCTAGAGAGTAAATGCAGAACACAACCCGTTACAGGTCAATGTTTTTCGACTACCTATGCTTAACAAGAACTGACAGCAGGAAAAGCAGGTGTGGCATGGCACAAACAGTGCTGTTGAGGTCCAGCTTCCGAAAGGTCTCCTCTGCTGCAGAACTCATGAGGTTCTGTTAAAGAAGAGGGTGAAGAATATCCTGCCAAAGAGTTTGGGGCAGAATACCAGAAATGAACTGGGCATTTTTCTGTTACTTTAAGTTACTGTTGTACTTAAGTTACAACAACCTGGAAGAAATATGAGCCATCAAAAGAGTGAAGAAACACTTTACAGCTCTCAGGACTCCCTCTCTGTTAGCAGTAACAACTACTGAACTATGAATGCCTGGTGGCACTGCAAATCTGAACTGCCTGTTTAAATGCGAGCCCAAATACAAAGCTAGCCCCTCTTGGGACGCATGGTTAATTTTCATTGAAAAAGGCACTTCTGCACACAGTTCGACTCATTCAGTGGCCAGCTGATAAGATAAAATATCCTACTTTCCAGTGGTATACGTGAATTTGACCATCGCCCTTCAGGTCAGAGAACCACAAAAATAAAATTACTTGTGCTCTCATAGAGCAATTTCTTCCCAAGAGGAAGCATGGTTACAGTGACCTACCATGTACTGGTCCACCTGCTTTGAAAAGTGCACCATATGACTGACCCTACCCTAAAAGCTCCCTGGGTATCTGATTTTCCTCTTTTTCCCATTCCAGGATACTTCCCGAGCCGCACAAAACCATGCAGGCTGCATCACTGGTCTGTTATTGCCTGCTTGTCTCTCTGTGCGTCGATTTGTCCCGAAATGAACCTGGTGCACATCTCAGGAGGCAAAGGAGAAGAATGCGCTACCGAGGATTGAGAAACGGCTCCTCAGCCGGGCACAGGTCCCCAAGGCAGCCAAGGACACAGCTTCCAGTTCCTGTTGCTGCAGCGCCCAGCATTCCTTTAATTAATATTGACGACGGCGTTATGGGAGTATTTGACTCTCTCATAGGTTTGGGTGGCCATGAATCCAGTTACAATGTCTTACCAGGTAAGAATAAAGCTCCTCTACTTGGAGTGGGCCCGTTTCTCTCTTGATTTCGAATGAAACGTAGAAACGCACGAGCGCTTCATCTTAGCTCTGTTGTGGTTAGCTTTTCCCTTGTCTATGCTTAAGCCTTGCAGAGAACCCTGCTTTGCCATCTAACAATAATATTTCCTGTAATTTTTCTGCATTCTCATTTCATTATCTCTAATAAAAGCTTGTTGGGATGAAGAATTTCTTGCTCAACGTATCTCCTAAGTCAATTAACGTTTCACTGAGGCCCTAACACCAATAACACAGTATTATTTAAAATGGATTTAAGTTCTTATTTTTTGCTATATTTCTGAAAAGCAACATCCTTACTGTGCGTACACACAATATTTTGGGAATAATTCTTGGTTTTGTAAATAAAGCAGTAACACACGCTAATATTTGCAATATGAAACTTGCATTGCAAACAAGACCCTTAAGGTGGAAAACAAAACTAACAGAAAAAACCCCCACACATTCAACACAAGATCGCTTTTCTCTCCCTCTATATAAAGAACCTGGATTTATTGAAAAGAAGTCCAATAGTGTATGATTTATATAAAACTCACCTTTTAGATGATCCATGGGTTTTTACGTTGGAGTACAAATATCTATTTTATGGTTTTGAAGGAATCACAGGAAGGGGATTTGATGTCTTAAGAAATAAACAGAAAAAGCAGAATTCAACTGATCTTTCCTGAAACCTGTCTTGATAACTGTTAACAGGCCTCTTGTATCTCCTCAGAAAGGCAAGAGTAGACAGGGATTGAGAACTGAGAGTTCAAGTGCTCCTCTGGTCCTTAGTGCAGCAAAGGGGGAGAGAGCTCTTGCTTTAGGATGCTGGTGATTTTATGTTCAGTGTCACGAAGGGGAAATGGTGACTTGCAAACCAGGAAATCAAGATCCGTAAGAGTGTAAAAATCAGACATTCATTCTAAAGATAAGAATTCCCAAATGCCACCATCTGTGCTTTTTGATTTTGAACCCCCAGTTATTAAGCAATTGAACGTTACCCCTTCATTGCTTTTCATAGAAAGAGGTTGAAATGTTAAACAAAAAAGACACTGGGACGTTGTGAAGAACCAACAGAGGGTTGTGTCCACTCTGCAGCTAATAAATAGAAAGACATAGGCACTTCCACTCCAGCACCAAGAGATCACACACCCAGTAAAATCATTGTCTGCAATCTTAATTAAAAAGCATTTTTATAAGCAAAAAGTTAAGCCTTTTAGTGTATCACACAAGAGACGTGACCACTGGGTTAACAGGTCTCAACTTAAATGGCTCTCTTGGTTTTACTGAGATTGAGGAGCATAATTTGATGTTGTATTCAGGAGAACCTCATGACAAAACATATTTTATCACATTTTCTTAACAATCAGTGATTGTTGGGAGTCCTTGCTTTCAAAAAGGCTGAATCATTTCAAACCAAGCATTTTTAACCAAAGACTTTCCATGGGAAAAGTAGCAAAACTCTTGACTACAGCATTTCTAGTGTGTGCTACAAGTATTCCTCTTGTAATAAGTACTACTGATGTCAAACCTCTAATTTAAAAATACTTTACAAATTAAACAGAGGAAAATACCACATAAATAGCAAACACTTCATGTAAGATATTCCAGTCTCTCTGTCGGAGACTATCAGTCATGTTTAAATAATGCGTGGTTCTTCCCCCCGCCCCGTTTGGTTCTTTCTATCTGGACTCGCATCCAAAAGCTAAGCTGAAACCACTGAACTCATTTTATTTGGAACTCCATGCTGAATTTACACCATATTTCCAAAGGTTAGAAGTCTCATCTGCCAAAGACTTCAACCACAAGGTATTTTTTTAGTCTGGCTTTTAAAGTTCAAAATTTTTTCAAGTTAATGTCAGATTTGGAATAAACAGAGCCTATTAAATAATAGAAGGCTATTATTAATCATGCTCCAGAACAGAAGAAAATGCAATACTAAACTTTATTTTCAATCTCCTAGCTACTTATTTAGCTCTCAGTAGCCTATAAAAACAATTTACAGATATCACACACAGGATGAAAACAGCAACCAGACGTATCTCCTTCCTCGATATAAAAATCATGTGAACTGTTTAAATGAAATCAAGCAGTTCACCACAACATACGAGAATTTGCAGTTGTTTATCCTTTACAGACTGCAAACTGCCCATCAAGCAGTGCTGTGTACACTGCTGGAGTATTTCCAGTGTCACTCAGACCTCACTTCTCCCTGCTCACACCACCACACTCGAGTATTCTGCGGACAGGAAGTTTAGGGAGCATCTCAACGCCGTCTGTACTCTCTCATAGCCAACCAGATGCCAAACAGCAGCTCTGCAACACAAGAAAAGGCTACTTCTTTGCCTTTGGGCACACATACCGGTGCTGTCTTTTTAAATAACTCTCATGTCCACACAAAACAGGACAGTGTGTTCGAGGAGTCTGCAGAGGCCAAGGCATGGTAACTCGTATCGTAGACTTGCACCAACTTCAGATACAGACTAGTAGCTAAAACAAAAGAAAGAATTTGAGGAAGCACGGAAGAATTTCCATCTCAAGCCAGATTATGTTCCTCTGGAGCAGCTGACGTTTTATTGTTGAGCATGAGAAAGTGGAGTGTTCTGGTCGTGTTTCCTTTGGAGATTATTTAAAATAAATATTGTGGCTCCCTGGCAAGCACGTAAAAACCAGAAGTCAGGATCCTGCAAACAACTGGATTACAGATACCTGGGTAGAATGACAAGGGACTTCCAGCCAAAGAACATTTGGCCCGGGCTAACTGCTCTCCTCCTCCAGTTAACACGGCTGGACTTGATCAGAGCACAACGTCATGTGGCTGAAGTGATGCACACATATCCTGGGTCTTTGAAAAACCAAGATGCCGCTGTTCAAAACCTTAATTTCTCCTCCCTTCCATCCTGAGAGTAATTTAAATCAAAAGAATAACTTTTAAAATGTAAGAAATACAGAGGAGCATCCAAATAAGATGATTCTGATGATTAATTTTTATGCTAGAAAACAGCTTCGTATCCAATGGTCTGCACGTAGAAGGGCAAAGGAACACCGACATTGTGAAGCTGAGTAGCACTGCCTTGAAGGACTTCTCAAAATGCCTGATTTTGAGTCAACTATTAATTCCAGACACATTTCAAAGCAAATAATTCCTACAGCCTTGTCAGGATATTTAGAAAGTACCCGGAATGCTCTTCCCTTTAAATCTGAACAACCAAGCGTGGACCAGGGCAGAGTGTGGGAAAACAAACCCTGCAAACAGTTCTTCCAAAGACAATTTGTCTGTCACCAGTGAAAGTCTCTTGCATGGAAAATTAGGCAAGAAATACATTCTTTCCACTGTATTAGAAAATCTTCAACTGAAGGAGGAAGTCAAACCAGATAGGAAAAGAGGAAAAATATTATCTGCACGCAGGAAAGTACAGAATAACTTAGCAAGGGGTTTTCAGCTTGAAATGAACACTTCAGCGATGCACTCTTACCTTAATTAGAATGACGAAAAGGAAGGTGTATGTGGGGTAAAGATTCTCACCAGATTCAGAATAGGAAAATGGGATGAAGAAGCTCAACCTTGGCTTGCTTTCTCTCTCAAAAAGACCAAAAAACAACCCCAAAACATTACGCTAAGGTGTAATGTTTATCCTGAAAAAAACCCCAAACATTACGCTAAGGTGTAATGTTTATTCTGGAGTTTGGATGGGAACTGCCCAGGGAAACTTTTGCTGAGGTAGAATCCAGCACTGGAAGGAAAGGGAGACTTGGAATAGTTTCCTTCCCAAGTCTTTATGCTCTCTAAACACTTTGCCTCCTGAATAGCTGAGCATAGCTTACAAAATAAATACTTTCCACATTTCTTTCTGAAAATTTCAACTGGGACCCTGAGGGAATCTTAGGTTTTTGTAAATTCATGTCCAAAAACCTTTGGAGATGAAGTATTTATTAGCATGAGTTGTTCAAGCTTGCTGCTTTCCTAGCAAAGTGTTGTCTTCAGCTAAAGCAAGTTACAGGGAAGAGATGTTTGCCATCTTACCAGGCACCACAGAATGGACTTGACTTCCATTAAGCTTACAAACAGTCACTATGAAGTGAATATTGTTACCCTGCTGGTTCCACAAAACCTTAACTAAACTTCCTTATTTAACGTGCAAGACATTAGAAAAGATGGCTGGTGTACAGCAGAGAAGCAGAAATGGGTCTGGAATAAAACAGTCTCAAGTTCTGCGTGATTTATTTCAACTCTGTTGTGATGGAGAAAACGTTTGCTTCTTTCTCACTTGTATCTATGCACAGCTTTCATCGAGATCTGTGATTTCTGCTTTTCATTTCTAAGGATGGAGAGGACAGTGGAGCTGCCACGCAAAAGACCCTCAAGAAAGTCACCATCTAGACTTCATTTCCCCATTTTAAGAATGTCTCTGACCTTGAATAATCCAAGAGCTTTTCCAGCAATCAAAGCTGATAAGGGTCCTCATCAGTTGGCTAGGAAGAGAGGGAAATGAACTCTTATGATGGCCGCTTCAAACAGAGGGAACAGACGATTAGAGGGGCAGAGAACCCGCACTGGGTTTTCACTGTGAAGCTGTGAGCAGGTGACAGCAACACACACGGTAGCTTTCCCTCCCCTTGATGCCTTCACAGCTGAGAGACCAAGAGGCTACGAATAAGCTGAAGAAAATAGAGCTACGAAAAATAAGGAGTAAGATGCTTCGAATAGGGTGTATTTTACATCTTTTCAAAACGAGAACAAAACAGTAGTGCTTATTTGCAAAGTTTTCAATGTTGTTTTCATGTCACGTTAAGCTATTTGACTCCAATTTTCCATTCTGTTTTCTCAGAAAAGAAGGGGCACTGCAGAGTCAATGAGATGATCATGTACGATAAAGCCGTCTGGTCTCCCGAGCCCTGCGTTACCTGTCTCTGCTCCAGAGGAGAGGTGATATGTGATACAGCAACGTGCCACCCTCTGCAATGTCCCCAGCCCGTTACCCCTGCAGGAGAATGCTGCCCAGTTTGTTCTGATCCCGGTACAGTACACCGTCATAGTTTTACTATTTTAAAACTACCTGGTGCAAAAGCTAACACAAATGCTATTTAATGATATCAAGGATTACAAGGCATGCACTGTCCTTTTATAGAGAAAACAAGTCCTGAATTACTTTACAAGAGCAGGTCTTCATCATTTCTACTCAAGTTGGCTCCAGTTTCTTAGAGTACACTGGCTGTTAGATGAGTATGACACAGTACTTAAAGCAATGATGATGATAACTGTGCAACAGTAAAGATAATTACATTTATTTTCCTCTTTCTGCTTCTTCCCTCCTACCTTTACATATTTTTGGTAAATGTATGAAGAACATCTGATTACATTTTATATCCCGCTTCCATTTACAAAGGGTCAATCAATAACCACTAGCCATTATTAATGCATTAGATCACAAACATACTGCAGTTTACAGACTGGTAAATCTTTCTTAGGAGTGTAAAAAACGCAGGTATGATATAAACCAAGAAAGGCAGTGCACAAGAGGAGCAACAGAACTGCAATCTGGCTTGTTCTTCATAAAAACCTAAACAAAATCAGTACCTTTCAAAAGAAATGAATGGAGAAGATGATGAAATGTGATTTCCTTCCTCCACTCCCAATGCATTAAGTCTCCAAAGCACTGAGCCAAACCTCCTCTTATCATAAAAACATTATTTAGCTTCACACATGTGCACATGAGACACACAGAGGGTGTCACACTGAGTAGAGACACGATAGAAATTAACTGTAGAAGCCGTGTTGATTGAAACAAATCAACTTTACTTGAACTGCCCAGTTACACAAGTAAAAACTGCACTTTGGTAACAGACTGAACTGCCCTGGTTAGCTCCCACCTCCAGCCACCTCTACACCTGACAGCACAGGAGAACAAGCCTTAACCTTTCAGAAGTTGATTCAAACTACCCACACACAGGCTTTTTCCTCTTCAGATACCACCACCAACACAAAAACCTCACTAAAAGGAAGATAAGGAAGGCTATATTAATTTTTTTCTCGAGCTGCAATGAGTCATACCTGGCTACAACCTCTTCTGTATGGTTGGCTTAACCATTTCACCATCTTCTGTCAAGCAGTAATATAAGATCATTTTTTTACTGTCTGCAATCATATTCTAAGGGGAAAACTACTCTTCTCTACTTAGGATATTTTTACTGTTTGAAGGGAACAACGTTTACTAAACCTTTACTTTCCTCTTATCAGGCACTTGTGTTTTGTCTTGGTTTTTGTTCCCGTTGCCTCTGGTTAGCCCTGTCTTTGGATTCAGGTGTTACTTCACTGGATGACACAAGCGAGCTGTCTGGTGATTCTCCAGAGCCCAATGACCTTGACAACAGTGATTTATTGCCATCATCAGCACGTACTCAAACTGGAAGAGATGAACCGCTTACAACAGAAGTGGTGGAGTTTAACGAGAAAGAGGGTGGTAAAAAGGATGAAAAGAAAAGAAAAAGGCAAGGCAAAAAACATCGACAGAAGCATAAAGGCTACCACAGAGGAAAGAAGCCCACCACGAGAACGGGCGTTGCAGAAGAAATACACCAGGAAAGCGATGAAGACGACGGTGCTTTCAGAATGCCATCTCATTTCCCAATTCCTGGTCCACCCATAGAAGCTCCTCCTTTGCCATCTGGGTGCTCCACCTCAGACACCACAGTAAGCTGTATTAATGCCAAACTCACACAAATACCCCCGATCTCAGATCCAGATCTAACGAGTCTAGACCTTACAGGTAAATAATGGGCCTACTTGGCACAGTTTTTCTCATGAAGGAACATTCTCCATTCTCAAATGCAGTCAGCAGTAGTGTTAATACTTTGTTATCCTTCTCATAGAAATGTATGAGAATTCATTTTACAGCTAAGCCTCTAAAACAATAAATTTAAAATATCAGATTGGCTTACTGGTGTTTAAACACCAACATGAGTACCCACACACAATCACTGCACATAACACAACTATTTCTGTAACACATTTTTCACATACAATACTACACATCTCATACGCGTACCGTAATTCATTACTCAGATTCCTTTCTTGAATTCTGTCCTAGGAAACGGTATCACTACTATCTCTGATGAAGCATTCAACGGGATACCTAATTTGGAGTGGATTGATCTGAGCAAAAATAACATCACCTCTCCGGGCATAGGTCCACAAGCGTTCAAAGTAAGAAAGTCCAACATTTCTATCATCCTATGAATAATTACTGCTGGTTTTCAGTCGATGTATCTAAACCAGTTTGCACCTAGTATGAGTAAAGACTGTATAATTATAATAGCCTGGCTATTTCAAGAAATCTCTTGTCATAATCAAGAGTACCTAGAGAGCTATAAATTACATTCACCAACTATTAAACGTTAAACAATAAGGGACAATTTTCTGATCTTTATCAGTTGCAGTTGAGGGATTTCAGCATTGAAGGGCTCATACTCCATTAATAACACCTGGGATACTTAGGCCCAACATTTGTAACTTTATGCATCATCTTTGCCACTTCTTTAGCTCTGTAGATCTTATGCTCTGGGATTCCCAAAGAGATCTGTGTACGCCAGGTCTCAACACAAATATCCACTCAGTAGCTCTTCCAGTTACACACTACATTAACTAGCACCTTTTTTTAACAGCTCGTATAAACAAACCAATTCTTTAGACTGATAGGAGAAAAACATTGATTCATCCAAAACACTGGATACGAGTGCACTGCTGCTGAAAATCTTCAAAATGAGTGTGTTTAAGAAAATGTTAACTGCGATGACACTACATGTTTAACCATTTATCTTACACCTTGATAATCTAAGTTCTCTTCTTCCTCCCTACGATTAAGGTCCTGAAAAAGCTAAAGCGTTTGTATTTGGATGGAAACATGCTGGTACATATTCCCTCTGAATTGCCATCAACTTTGGAAGAAATAAAAATAAATGACAACCACCTTCATGCCATTGATGAAGACGGCTTACAAGGTAGTTAGAAAACTAGTACCAATCATATGAAAAGATTAATATAAATTTGCAAAGCAGAATGTCCAACCAAACACATCTGGTTTGATGTAACTAGAAAATTAATTGCTACCTTTAGAATCATAGGATGTACTGGGTTGGAAGGGACCTTTAAAGCTCATCCAGTCCAACCCCTGCAGTGAGCAGGGACACTGGTACCAGCTCAGGGTGCTCAGAGCCCCATCAACCCTGACCTTGTCCCTGCACACCCGGGCAGCATCCCTGTCCTCTTCCCAGGATCCCTGTCCCTGCTCCCACTGCTGTGCAGTTTCCATCTTGCCTTTTAGTTTGGCCAGCAGGTCTCGACTCATCCATGCTGGTCTCTTGCCTTCCTTGCCTGATTTCCTACACTTGGGAATCGAGAGCTCTTGTGCTCTGTGGAAAGCCTCCTTTGCCAGCTCTGCTCTGCTCCTTTGTCCTCGAGGGCCATTTCCCAGGGGGTCCTATTGACCAACTCCTTGAAGAGCTGGAAGTTGGCTTTCCCAAAATTCAGGGTCCTGACTGTGCTTCTCGTGTGACTCACACACCTCATGGCTGTTCTTTAGGGACAATTCTCCACACTCGATCCATTTCTTAACATAGAAGGCAACACCTCCACCCCTTCTTCCTCTCCTGTCCCTTCTGAACAGCCTGTAGCCATCGATAGCCACACTCCAGTCATGAGATTCATGCCACCAAGGTTCAGTAATGGCCACTATGTCGTAGCTTTCCCGTAGCACAACAGCTTCCAGCTCCTTCTGTTTGCTGCCTATGCTGCACTGGTGTAAAGGATTTCAGCTGTGCTGCTGCCCATGTCACCCTCATTCCCCCAAGGTGTTTCATGGAAGCTGCCCTGTTGGCTCCTATCACCTCAGGAGCCTCTGGCTCATCTCTGTGCCATTTAAGTGCCATGTTTTCAAAAGATGAAAGATTTCCATTAAAAAGTATTTTTTAAAAAATATTCTCCATTCTTAAGCAACTGCTACTCTCCTAAAGAAGCTTATATTTAAGTTGACTAAGTAGAGATGGATTTGGAGTATGTTAAAGATACCTGACTGCTGACCCATGACCCGACTGCTTTATGTGTGGTCTAACTATATTAATCCTTTTTCTAATTGCATGGAAGTGAACAGAATTTGACGTGCACGAAAAATAAGGCAGAATGTAATCAGAGTAAACCATGGTCATTTTAAGCCAAGCTAAATGTGGGGTGATCAAAACAAAACAAAGAAAAACCACGACCATTCATGTCGTAATTTGACTTTTCGCCACCTCCTCCTGCCAAAAACGTCCCCGTGGAAACTGCATCAGTTTAGTGCCACAGCCCACTATGGAGCAATAGAAGTGCCTGAGCGAAGGCAAAGGAAATGTAGGCCAAGGGCTGCAAGAGCTTTTTTTGTTTAAAATTATCAAACTGCACGGTTAGGAGAAGCTACACAAAGTTTCGGAAAAAAAACCAAGTTATTTGGATTATTTGTGATTGAGGAACTTCTTCTTATGAAATAGTATTTCTTGCTTACATACACGGACTGGTTTCTTCTGTGACCTGCATTTGGATGGCTGAGGAGGAGCAGTAGCAGACGTGAAGGCTCTCAGTGCAGTACAGAAGGTGGTTGGAAGGAAGAAAGCAGGGAGGGGAAGACAGGAGCTCAAAGCCAGAGTAGCCGTGTCCGTTATCAGGGAAGTGACTGGAGACCATGGAGATCAGTGGGCATCCACACAAGTCAGCACCCACGTAGGGCTCCCAACATCATCCCACAGCCCCATGAAGTAATAAGGCCTAAATGGCAGCACTATGCTCAAGTTTTACAGCTGCCTTCTTTTCATTTCTAAGCCATAAATAAAGCTCTGGTCAATCTCTGAAGTTCTACAAACTAATAAATAATATCATTCTGTTATGAGATAATGAATGAAAATCCTTTCACTGCTCCTCCTCCTCGCTGTGAGCTGACCTGAGTAACTTTTAAGATGGTTACATTTTAAACATGCATTTTCACAAGATATGAGATGGCATTCACTAACAGAAAGTCCGACTTTTTCTCCCCAGGTTTAAAGAACTTGGTCACCTTGGAATTAGAAGGAAACACACTTAGTGAAGCAAATGTCAGCCCTCTGGCCTTTTATCCTTTGAAAAGTCTCTCTTATTTGCGACTGGGAAGAAATAAGTTTAGAATTATCCCACAGGGGCTTCCTGCCACTCTTGAGGTAATCAAACCAAACCAAACCACCCAACCCAACCCAATCCAACCCAACCCAAACCACCCAAACCGCCCCCCAAACAACAAAACCAACTCTAGTAGACCCAACAAGGTATTTTCTATAACATTAGATTCATTTGCAGCAGCTTCAATTCAGGCCAATGTTCTCCCCTAGCCATTCACTCGGATGTTCCTGGTTTTTTCCCACTTCATCCCTCCACCTGGCAAGTTTTCCTATACTTTTTATGCTTTGGGAACGTTTATTTTGAAACCAACACGTAATAAATTCACAAACAATGATTTTTCATTTTTCACAAATAGCTTTCTAAGACAAAACAAGTTAATCTACTCTTACATTAGACTTGAGGCAACAGTAAAGATGCCATTCTTTGTCGATCTGGTCTTTCAAAGCAATCTGTATTTCACAAATGAGGGCACAAAGCAACTGCTTTGAAAAGTCGCGCTGGTGAAAGCCACATTACAGCGACCAACTGACTCAGATTCAGGAGTTAACAGGTCCATCAGGAGCTGTGGAGGATGGGTACATCTTAAATTTGCTACAGAAAAGAGCAGCACGTTTTGCTCTCACACATTTTCTCTCTTTTCTTTACAGGAGTTATACCTTGAAAATAATCACATTGAAGAAGTGTCAGAAATTTGCTTTAACCACACCAGAAACATCAATGTCATTGTGCTCAAGCATAACAAATTAGAAGAGCACAGAATAGCACCCTTGGCTTGGATAAACCAAGAGTAAGTACGAGTCATTTGAAACATAATCAATTCATTTTTCTCTGTTATCCGTGAGTCAGACAATGGGATAAATATCTGCACTTCATTATTTGTAACTTGACATTGTAGTTATCTTTTGGTTTGCTTTTTTTCCTTAGCTCATCTGTCTTAATTTCCTTTGCCCTAATTGTATAACTCAGGAAGTATTCAGCCAACCTTAAAACAAAAAGATCTTATACCTCAAATCTGTTCCCTATTAATGCAAAACTCCAAATATTTTTTCTGACCTTCCAATCAAAAAAAAGAAAATTAGTTATCAGAATTACTCCATATTGTATTATAATTTGGTGTTACTATATCATTACCTCACAGATAATTTAAAAATCATTGAATATTGTCCTAGCCTTATTTCCCATTAGATTAGGAATTATAGAAGTAAAGAAGATGAAGGGAAGACTGTGCAAGAGCAGAATACAAGCAGGGCAAGCAATGAGAGTGAAAGCAGCAAGCAAGGACACTGGTTTTGATTCCACTGGTAAACTGTCTGCTAAGCTGCAGAGGGTACCTCGCCAGAACCCGTCAGCCGCACTCCTAGCAGTTGATTTCTGGATTTGCAAACTGCTTAATCTGAAAATCACTGTTACCCACAGCTCGTCTCACCTCTGGAAGTGAGGCATTGAAATGACTCAAACGGAGCCATTCACAAACCAACTCATTTTCAAACGGGCTTTAAACCAACATTTTAAAATCCATGTCAATGGGAGAAGTGCTGAAGTCCCAAGCTCACCGTGTGCTTTCCAGCACAACTCATTATTGCGGTTCTGCGATGCTTATCGGTCACAAATTGGTCCCTTGGGTTTCCCCCATTCAACCTTCTCTCTGTACTCATTACTGTAGATTTCTTCCCAGCAACGCAGTCATTTTGCTTGATTGATAATTAATGACTTCAGTTCCTTCTATTCCCAGAGTAATTATGCATGGCCATGCTCCATAAAATGCATTCTGTTCCATTAACAGAAACAAATTTCCCTTTGAAATGTAGTTTCCCTGTAATTGCGTTAAGTGCTGTTTCGTACAGAACGAACCATCAATAATGCAGTACGCAATAACGTTTTCATCTCCCCTTCCCCCTCTCCTTCCTTTCATGCAGGAACTTGGAGTCAATCGATCTCTCTTACAATAAATTATACCACGTTCCCTCCTATCTGCCAAAATCTTTACAACATCTGGTACTCATAGGAAATCAGATTGAAAGGATTCCAGGATACGTCTTTGGTCACCTGAAGCCAGGCCTGGAATACCTCTACCTGTCCTTTAACAAACTTACTGACGACGGGATAGACCCCGTATCCTTTTTTGGTGCATATCACTCCTTGAGAGAGCTGTTCTTGGATCACAATGAATTAAAGTCTGTACCGTTTGGAATTGATGAAATGAGAAAATTACATTTTCTAAGGCTGAACAATAATAAGATAAGGTAATTTCCAAGCTTTTTGTGACATTAATGGGGTTACAAGAAACGTCAAAAGAAATAGAGGCGTGGGGATGAGTGGCTGGAAAGGACCT